AAATAAGCTAAGAGGGCTGGAGCAACAGCACAGCGGGTAGGGCATTTGCCTTGCATGCAGTCTACCCGGCTTCGATTCCCAGCATCCTATATGGTCCCCCGAACACCGCCAGGAGTAATTCTTGAGTGCAGAGCCAGGAATAACCCCTGTGCATCATCAGGTGTGACCCAAAAAGCAAAATAATAATAATATTAATAAAACTAAAAACTGATATTTTCCTTTCACTGTATTGATATGTGTACTGAGAGTACCCAAAGCAGTGCTGGTTGAAACTTCTGGTACTTTTGCAAAAAGAAGGGCAGTGACCCAACAGCCAGTGTAATTTTCACCATGCATTCCCACAATAAAAATGAAACCACAAAACTTAAAATCAGTTTCATTTTAGAATGTCTGTAATAGGACCAGAGAGATAATTCAGAGGGCTAGTGTCATGATATGCATATGGGAAGCCCACACTACATTGTTCCCCAATATCTCCTTCCCATCACTGCCAGGTGTAGCCCCCAGCCAAAAATTATTCTCCAAAACAGAAAGAAAGCAGTAAAATCTTATTTCATAAAAGCTTTGAGTAAATAGGGCTACAAAATAAGGAGTTTGGAAAAGCTTATTTAGAATAGCAATTCATGTTTTGAGGAAATCACTGGTATGACTAAGTTTAACTAATTGCTTTGTTCTTTGGACTCTTAAATTCTTACTATCTCTTGTTATTCAGACTTAAGACACTGAGAATTAATTTTTTTTAATAAAGGGGCCCTTCCACTTAAAGGAAAAAACTTGAAAATATTTGTTACCACCAACAGTATGTAGTTTTGTTTTGTTTTAATTTCAAGCAAAAATTAAAAGCTTGGATTTGAAACTTGAGTGACTTTAAATGACAGCTCTTCAGAACTTAAAAAGATACTTATTATGAGTTAATAATATTAATGATGATGTTTTGGTACTGAATAATGAAATAGGTCACAGTTGGAAGATCTGCAACTCAATGTTTTCAAATGACTAAAGCAAGATATTAAAAAAATCAAGAGTAAAAGACTCCTCTATCGAAAAGTGCCAAGATATACTAAAATGGATTTTCACACAATAGTACAAAAATGTAATTTTATTGCATATTGTAATTAACTTTAAGAAACTTCTTGAGTATTTATGTCTTATCAAAGGATATTAAGATTGCCTGAAAAGATTTAAAGTATTTTCCATTTCTGTTTTGTTTTTCTGGGTCACATCCAGAGTTGCTTAGACTCTGCACTAAGGGATCATTCCTGGCAAGCTTGGGAGACCATAGTAGGTTGCCGGGGATCGATCCCAAGTTGGCTGAGTGCAAGGCAAATGCCCTCCCCATTTTCCCTATCTCTTTGGCCCCCTTTTTTGACTTCTTATCCATGGAATATTTTTCATTTTTTTCCCATTAAACTGTGTTTCATACAACCTAATAGACTAAGTGGAAAAAGCAGACATAAGAATCCAGTTAGATTCTCTTCAGCTAGACATTGAACTTATTCTGATGTTTTTTTTTTTAATGCAATAGTAACATCTTTCAAAAACTCAATTTTAAGGAGCTGGAGCTATTGTACAGTGGGCAGGGCACTTGTCTGAATTTGATCCCTAGCACTGCATATGGTCCCCCCAAGCTTGCCAGGAGTAAGCACTGAGCACAGCCGATGTGGCCAAAAAAACAAACCGAAGAAACTCAATTTCAAGTATAGTTACTATTAAATTTATCATCTACATTAAAATTCTTTGGAGTTCTTTTTTTTTTTTTTTTTGCTTTTTGGGTCACACCCGGCGATGCTCAGGGGTTACTCCTGGCTCATGCACTCAGGAATCACTCCTGGCGGTGCTTGGGGGACCATATGGGATGCTGGGAATCGAACTTGTGTCGGCAGTATTGGCTGCGTGCAAGGCAAATGCCCTACCCACTGTGCTACTGCTCCAGCTCCTGGAGTTCTATTTTTGAAAGTAAAAGTCCCAAGGCTAGAAAGGTTGAACTGTAGATATAAAGTTTTAATGCCACCTACTGGTAAGGTCCAAAATCACGGCTTCTCCTGAAACTGGCAGCTACTCAGTTCGTTGCATATTTCTCAAAGGATGCTTTTTTGATAATGGGTCAGCCAGGGAACAAAACTGGGGAGAAGAAGACAGAATTAAGCATTTGGCTATGTTGATGGAGGGCCCTGGACACTTTGGTATCATACTCACAGGTATGATAATGTACACTGAAATCAGAAACATTAACACTGATATAAGCATGTAACCTATAGTAATTTAAAAATCATACTATCAAGGAATGCTAATATTTCTCAGCAGTCTATCTTAATTTAAACCACCAGTTACTGAAGTAAACTGTGGCATAGCTTGAGTGAGATCTGCTTCTAATTTTTTTTGTTGTTGTTCATTTATTATGCTGTATAGAGTTGTCTGTTCCCAGTTTTGGCAACCCCTTATTTGGCGACATCTGAGATTGTTGCTCTAAGATATCACTCCTACCTTACAGGCTGAACTGCCCAGTTGGACTCATTGAGGTTTATAGTCCTTGGCCTTAAATATGTGAGCAGTATGATTCAAGATAATTGAGCAAGGGTTCATTCAGCGTTTGAGTTGCTTATGTGGACTGACTCAAATAGTTTTGTGGGCAAGGTTTTTCTTCCGGTGACTATTCCTAACAATTTTTTTGAAATCACCCATTAGGAAATGAAGCCATTTGAAGCCTTTTCCCTGCACATTCCTCTTATGTAACACCTCATTTTCTTGGTGACATGGCCTATGGTACTGATGATAATGTGTAAATTTCACTTTTGTTTGTAGATTTTAAATGGAGGGACTCCAGACATTCCTTCCAGTGGCTTACTACCAGGGCAGGCTCAGGATAACCCAGGTTATCCGTATTCTGATAGTTCTTCTATTCTTGGTAAGTGGAATTTCCATTGCAATAAGCTAGTAAAATATAAGGAACAAAGTAAATGTTTAAATCTTAAGGGCTCAAGACGTGGCTCAGTAGTTAAGTACACACCTAGCATTCTCCAAAAAGAAAAAATTGTTTAAATCTGACTTTAATGGCTGAGTTCTGATGTTGGAATCCAAGTTTGTCTTTGAAATTCAAGAAGAAAAAGCATTAGCCTCTGGCTTGCTCCCAGAACACAATGCACATAATCTCTGCAGAGGGAGAGCCAACTGTGGGTCAGAGAAAAAGCCTAGAAAGGTCTCCAGGAAGCATTTAAAGAGTCCTTAAATAGAAATTGCTGCTTGTAGCCCAAATATCTTTTCTTTCCTGTTTTCCTCATCTCTATCTTACATTTGTCTTTCCTTCTGTAACTCCTTCCTCATCACCGATTATCAGAATATTAAAATGAGGCAATTTATTAAATTTTAAGCACTTGTTTTTTATTTGTAAAGTCGGATCTTCTCTCAAAAAACAAACAACAACAAAAACACTTGGCTAACTTACCACCCTGTTAAATTTTTATTAAACGCTTCAGTGCTTAGAATTTCTTACTCAGGTTGAAACCTTTGCTATTATCATTGATTGGTCTTTATCTCCTCCCCCAGGTGAGAATCCTCACATAGGCATCGACATGATGGACAACGATCAAGGCTCCAGTAGTCCCAGTAACGATGAGGCAGCAATGGCTGTCATAATGAGCCTGTTGGAAGCAGATGCTGGGCTGGGCGGCCCCGTTGACTTTAGTGACTTGCCTTGGCCGCTGTAAACACTATGTGTTGCTTTGGCAACAGCTACAAAATCAAAGTGCATTATTGGTGGAGTTTTACAGTCTATGAAGCTTACTGGATAAGGAGAAAACAGCTTTTATGTAATGTCTTCATAAAAGCCATCTTAGAGCCATTGATACAAGTCAATCCTATGTGTAACTTCAGACAAAATGGAACTAAGCCTGCTCCAGTGTTTCATCATCGATTATTGGGCTAGCTGTGGATAGCTTGCATTAATTGTATATTTTGGATTTTGTTTGTGTTGAATTTTTTAATCATTGTGCACAAAAGCATCATTGGTAGCTTTTATATGCAAATGGTCATTTCAGATGTATGGTGTTTTTACACTACAAAGAAGTCCCCCATGTGGATATTTCTTATACTAATTGTATCATAAAGCTGTTTATTCTTCCTTGTAAGAATCCTTTACTATAAATATGGGTTAAAGTATAATGTATTAGACAGTTAAATATTTTTAATAAATGTTTCCTTGTTCTATAAATACTGTCATTTTACCAGTCTCTTTTCCTGAATTTTTATTGCTGTTGAGGCCACCACTGGTAGTGGCAGGACCTCATTACATGCAAGAAAGGCACATGCTGTAGCCCTTGAGGCCCTGCCTGCTATATACTATCATTTTAGCCTATATGCTACAGATCTGAATCAATTTCTTACATAGGGTACTTAAGAACAATCCATGCCAGGAACATTTATTAGTGTCTTGACTTCATAAAATGGTTCTGAGATTTACAAAAATCCCCATGTTGCTAGCTGAGCTGTCAATACTCTCAACTGGTGCAATTTTATGAAAGGTACCAATGCTTAAATACAAATCACCTAAAATTACAAATTCACAATTAGATGTAACAAACGGGCTCTATACTACAGCTTCTACTACTCACAGCTGTATGGCTTCAAACATTAAATTACCCCAAAGCACCTAAATAGCTCCACGGAATATTTGCATGAGTAATCTAAGCAGGGCAACACAGCTGGGAAAAGCACTTAACCAGAGAAACAGGCTCTGAAATTTAGGGCAACTGTAGGACAAGTGAAGAATATTTCACCCTTTGTACCAGGCTGGATCAGAAAATGTTCTTTTTCAGTTATATGCTATTTTGAACTCATAGTATAATTTATAACTACCAGGAATAGTGGGAGCCTCATGAGTATGCCAAACTGGAGTTTTGTTTTTACTGTTACCGTTTGGTTTCAAGATATTTTGAAATCATATTGGGAAATCTAATGGCACTAAAAAAATCTAGGCAAGGTGGTGATAAAGTTGATCACAAACATTACAACAATGGAATTTTATTTGATGAAAAACTTGAGTTTACAATCATTTAGTAAATGAAGAGCAAACACTTCATTTTCCTATCCCATAACTCTTAAGACAAAAAACCATTAGTAAATAAATATCTGTGAACAGATTAAGGGTAAGGCAGACTGGATAATAAACCACCTCTGATGTGATATTCATATTCCCTGCACGTGACTCACTCTAAAAGAGTGACTCACTCAAAAAGGGTGAAACGGCACTGGCGATAACATATTAGGATGAAATTCAATGCCCATATCTTAATTCAAATAAGCCCAATGATACTCATTTCTAGATCACCATGGGCAGCAAATTATATACTTTTTACTGAAGGAATACTTTGATAGAAGCACTTAAGTTATATTGTGCATCACAACTATAAAAATGGCTTAAACAGTTCCATTTAACCACCATTTATAAAGTGCAACTATATAATAATCTGCATTTTGTCCGGGGTTTGACAAGTATCAACCTAAACTGAAAGTACCCCAGCTGCCAATTTCCACAAGTTCTGAAAAGGTCTAGATATGTGAAAAAGGACTGTCCCCCATACAAATAATCAATTTCACAAACCAACTGGTAAACAAATACATTTATATAACTGAACCTCAGGATGCTAAGAGTTGTACTCATTTAAAAAACCATTCAGCTACCTTTGGTCTTTAAAAAAAAGCCTACACTGCAGTATCCTAAACATTGTTATGTGCATCTCACAATGAAGATAGTGGTCTTGCAGTGCAGAATGAGGAGAGTGCAATGTCACCGTGAATAGTAGCATGCTATGGTTTCAAGGAAGATCATCACAGCATCGGATTCTGTGCGTCAGGATCGAGGTCATTGTTGCCTGAAGGAGGATGAATAGGGAGAATATCCAGCTCATCCACTTGCGGAGTTGGGTGCATAACTACCAGCTGGTCCTGGGGAATGTCTGCAGCAGCTGCTGCCAGGTTGGTAATAGATTTACTCTTTACACACTGAAAGTCTACATGCCGACTCTTTCCTTCTTCCTTCTCCCAGGACATCCGAATGAAAGGTCTTTGGACATAGTTGTAAATCACTTCGGGGCGGCCCCCAGGCCTTTTCTTCACTTTTTCTTTGTAGGTAGGATAACCTGGAGGAGAGAAAGTTTTTTATTGAGGCAGTGCTGGGAATTAAACCCAGGGTCTCACCCATGCAAGGCAAGTACTGTGCCACTGAGCCACATCTCAACCTTTTAAATATTCTGGATTTTTAGTTTTTTGGGCCTGGGGGTCAAACCAAGACCACCTCAGGCATGCAAAGTGTGAGCTCAGTCCATAAATTTCTTGGGCCCTTTCAACTCTCTCTGGCTCCAGAGAAAGGTTTTAAAAACTTTGATACAGAAAACATTCAAGCATGTACAAATAAAACCCCCAAACAATTATCCAATTTAGCCTTTAAAAAATAAATAAAAACACTTTTCTGTTATAGTTCAAATTGAAAGAAAATAAATATTCCACTCTCTCAGTCTTCAGTTCAACAACCATAAACTGAAATCCTAGTATGGAATTCATGAAACTTTTCATCTTCTCAGCCATTCCACATAATAGCTGGATTTGTCCCATGGGCCTGAGATCAATGTGCATATCAAAAGGAAACAGTTTACACACTAGAGACTCAATGATTACTGCGATGGTGGGTACATTTTAAGCATCACTTACTGGTAGGTGGCATATTTTGCCATGTGTTAAATGGTTGCAGCTGGGCACTGAAAAGCAGGGCTAAAACCTTTCAAAGAACCTCTAGAAAGTTCTCTAGCTTTCACACTTTAATGGTTAATTAACTACCAGCTCAAAGGAAGCACTAGAAATCACAAAGGTCTCCATCTCCAGTCCCTAGTCCTCTTCGGTAATTCCTCTTAATTCCAAAGCCTTTAAAATTTTCATGGCAGGGGTGGGGGTGGGGGGGAGGACGGGGGAGAGACAGTACAGCAGGCACGGCCAGCTTGCCTTAAATACTGCTGGTCCAACCCATATTTGATCCCTGGCCTCACCATAAGGGACCCCAGCCCCACTAGTAGTGATCCCTGAGTGCAGAGTCAGTTGTAGCACCCTCAGTACCCCAGGTGTGACTCAAAAACAAAAAAATAAAAGTTTCATCTCATCATCCAAACTGTCCCTAAACAGAATACCAGTCTACTGCAAGTGTAATCATATTATATTCTTAAAAACTACTGATGGTTTCCTTGTATTTAAAGTCCATACTATTCATAATATTATAGAAACTTTTTATTAACAAGCAGGTTCTAAACAATCCCAACCTACCTACTATCAAAGTAAGCTATCCTTTAACCATGGAGCTCTCACATGCACCGGCCATCTTAAACTTGCCACTTTTCCCAATATATACTTTGGTGCTTAGAACATGTTTCCTGAAAGTGTTTCCTACTACCTGCTTCCTGCTTCCCTCTTCTCACACCTGCAGCTACAGTATTTTTTGATAAAAATAACTAGTGTCCACAAAATTAATCATTTACTTCTTAAACTCAGAGCACTCCTACTGTAACAATACTGACAGCACCAAGTTAAAAAAAGTTTTTTTGTATGACCCTCTCACCTAGATGATGAGTTCCTATTTCAGTCAGTGTTTTTATCTCTCTCTAAGCCCACTGCCTAATATACTGCCTGAATACTGCAGGCACTAAGTAAATATCTGAACAAATACTCACTAAAAGCTATTAAGATTTATCAGTAACAAGGGACAATATATTTCTAGATATTTTGGGAATATCTGAAAAGAATACTTTTTTACTAAAAAGAATGTTTTTTTCTTTAAAAACAAGTGACACTGATAATAAAGGGAAAAAAAGTGTTTCTGGCTTCCAGACTTACCAGTCTAGTCATTTAACAAGTAATGATTTAGTAGTAAATACATTAGACAATTCTTATAGGAGCACGCTGCCTTAAAGGCATTCTCTGGAATGATGAGATTGTTCATGAAGTAAAAGAACCAAAATAGCAAAGAAAAAGCATAGAGGAAAAAAGTGTCAGGCCAAAGAGATAGTACAAGCGGGCAAAGCGCTTGCCTTACACACAGTCAACCTGAGTTGGATTCCCAGTCCCCCGAGCACTACCAGGGGTGATCCCTGAGTTCAGAGCCAGGAAAAACCCTGAGGCACTGTGATACCAAAAGCAAAAAATGTGTTAAGGCAATGATGGAGATGTTAAGAAAAAGAGGACTACAATTCCTATAAATTAGAAGAGTTGAAAAAAATTTTCTGGAAGTGTTGTTGTTGGAGCTTACTGAATGAGGAAGACTATGATATCCAAAAGCAATGCAGGCAGAGAATACCATGCTAAGGAAAGAAGAGCATAAGCTAAGTCACAGAGTTATATACAAAGTATGTCTAGCTGACCCAGAGAAACGACTGCATAAAGGTCTTTTACTGGAAAAGATTTGGATAAGACTGGGAAGAGTCTTAAGTCTTTAAGCCTTTAAAAAAATAAATTTTCACTGCTAAAGTCTCACAAAGAATAAAATTTTTACACAGGCCCCCAAAAATAGAAATAGAAAAATCAAAGCAACTTTTGCCTATAGATGCAGGGGAATCATGCATAATTCTATCTAAAGACTTCACTAAGTCAGTAATGAATATTCTATATTCTGTGGCAACAGTGATTAAACGATCTTTTTTCAGTTTTCTTTCCTTAAATTCTTTAAAAAAAATAATAGTTAAATACTTTGACATAAGAGAGCTTTACATGTTTATAATAAAATTCCTAATGATGGAACAGCAAATCCCTGCAGTCCTTAACTACCTTTAGGTAAAATCAATAACTTTATGAGGTTAAAGATGTTGTTTCATTAAGGGATAGGTTTCTTTTTTTTTTTTTAAGAGCAAAAAAGGCCAAATAGTGTTCATTGGTGGAATGTATGTAAAGGATTTAGCCAAGAAGTTATTCATGCTTTCCTAGACCCCACGGTCCACCCACACCAACCCCCTTTTTAAAACCACCTCATCTCCTGTTTTATAATTAAGTAAAATAAAAGGCTTTAGATAGAACCTGACTAGAGCAATAAATACAGTACAAAACTAAATGGTATTGGTTATTTCAAAAATACTTTCTTCCTTTGTATTTCACCATCCTTGCATATCCAAGTTCTCCTGTCTTCTTGGTATCCCCAGAACAGCAACCCAACCTAACACCCACTAAAGCAAAGCTATTTAGAAACTTCTGTTGTTTCAGTATGTGGGGCTGAACCCAGGGAATCACACATGCTAGGAATATTTTCAACCTTCTCAATCCATTTACATGTAGTTGGGAATCTTGGTTACTTCCATAGCTTTGCTATTGTGCATCTATCCTCTTGCATTGTTTCTGTTTTGAAGGCAGATATCAAGAAGTGGTATCGCCGGGTTGTATGAAAGGAGACTAACCATTCTTTGGTATTAAAATAATACCACATAAAGAACGTCATCATCATCATCATCATCAGGCTCTTTATCCATAATCACTATAAATTTTAATATTACTACAGGAGATACAATAAAAAATACATCTCACTTATGACACATTCTTGCTAAAAATACTGAAGTTGAATTAAAGAGTCTTTAACTTACATATTTTAGGAATTATAAACAGGAATATATTGAAGCACACCACAAGAAAGTAGCTGAAAAATTTCAGAAGACAACTGTTCCAGACTCTTCAACAAGACATTGTTAAATTAGAGGTAACTCCAATTGAGATATTTACAAAACAAATGTAGCTTACAAGATGTGGTCGCTGAACTGGTTTGGAAAGACCAGCTATAAAAGTTATTTCTTTGGTCTATGGGGTAAATCTTAATACGAACTGATAATAACATTAAGGAATTATTCATCTTATCGCATGTAACATTTTAGAGGCATATTAAAAATTTTATAGTATGTTACTACATACAATGAATTATGATAAACGATTTTAAGTGGGCTTAATAAACTGTTCTTAAGTCCTTATAGTATCAAAAAATTCAGAATTTTTAACTAAAGGCCTCTACCAATACACTTAATACTCTGTGATAAAGAATTCCTCAATTTGGGGCTGGAGCGATAGCACAGTGGGTAGGGCGTTTGCCCTGCATGTGGCCGACCTGGGTTCGATACCCAGCATCCCATATGGTCCCCTGAACACCACCAGGAGTAACCCCTGTATATCATTGGGTGTGACCCAAAAGGCAAAAAAAAAAAAAAGAATTCCTCAATTTGCAGTAACAAACTTGTACCTTACATAAATCACTTATTTATTATTTAAAAGTCATTTATATGCTATGAACTAAGTTCATTTCAAGTTACATGTTAGGTATATAATGTGCTTCTGTTCTTACGGAGTTTATAGTACATGACTGAACAGATTATCAAATAGAAATAGTAAGCTGTTCTAAAGAGAAACTTCATAGGGTTTCAGCCCTGGCAGCCACACCTACCTCCCACAGACTCCATGCTGACCCACTGGCGTGGCTCTACCAATACCCGACTAAATCTTCAAGGAGATGAAAGCCAAGCAGCTAAAATTCATGGACACACAAGTCCCCCAGGCTGAAAACTCTGGGGTGCCCTAGGGAGGCTGGCAGGCCAAAGCCTGGCCTCCTGCACCCACACTGCAGCCACATCAAGGGCTCAACTCCATGGCTTCACTGATATTCTCTGCAGAGATGCCAAACTACAAAATAATTTCTAGTATTCCAGAATTCAGGTTGAGAATACGGGTCTTAGAGTTGGGTGGTCAGCCTCCCCCACCTCCTGCAGCCTCCTGCCATGTCAACTTATTTGCCCACATCAAAGTAAACTGTTCTAAAGAGAAACTTCATAGAGTGTGAAGCCCTGGCAGCCATTCTGAATTTCTCAATACTGAAATTCCAGTAGAAGCACACAAAATTAGTTAAGGAAGCAACATAGAAGACAACTAAACTCAACAAACCAAGACAATTATAACACAGAAGGCTCAACTAGCAACAAAGAGCTTGGTTAATTCTTAGACAAGGACTTAATGCCATGACAATTTTCAGACTTTTTTTTTTTAATCTGTTTTTGGGCCACACATGGTGATGCTCAGGGGTTATTTCTGGTTTTGCACTCTGGAATCACTCCTGTTGGTGCTCAGGGGACTAGATGGGATGCAGCATATCGAATCCAGGTAGGGCACATGCAAGGCAAGTACCTTACCTGCTGTACTATCTCTCCGGTTCCTAGACTGATCTCTATTATACTTACTGATTATAATACTGGAGCTGTGTTATCTAATCAATTTCAACTCTAGAACTGTATCAACAGTTGTAGCTTCTGTCTTAAATTGTCTTTGTCTTAAACATTAAATTTTTAAAAAGAAAATTTAGAAGAAAAAAAGATTTCACAAAGTATCTTAAAATAAATGTAGCAGCTATGCAAAGAAAATACTGGGGAAGGCAATCATTTCTATAGAATTTTATTTGATTATAACATCCCCTAAGACAGACATAAATTATATAGATAAGGAAACTATTTGGGAGACTGAAGCAGTTATACAGTAGGTAAAGTAAAGTAAGTAAAGGCCCTCCCGTTGATCATCGATTTGCTCGAGCGGGCCCAGTAACGTCTCCATTGGAGACTTTGTTGTTACTGTGTCTGGCATATCAAATACTCTCGGTAGCTTGCCGGGCTCTCCGAGAGGGGCAGAGGAATCGAACTCAGGTCGGCCATGTTGGCTGCGTGCAAGGCAGACGCCCTACCCGCTGTGCTATCGCTCCACCCTAAGGGCACTTATCTTGCACAGAACTGACCTAGGTTCAATCCCTGGGACCCCTATAGTCCTGTGAGCCTGCCAGAAGCAATCCCTGAGCACAGAGCCAAGAGTGAGCCCTGAGCAGCTCAATTTTCACCCCACATCTCTCAGTGACAAAAAAAAAAAAAAAGTAAACTCTTTCAAAGGCTGAAAACTTATTTTAGGTCACTGGTCAATATACTCCTGAGAGACCTAAAAAACCCAGTATCTTCTGATCCTATCTCACTTCTCTGATTACCCTGACACCAATTCTAGTTCTTGAATTCTTCTCTTCTTCATTCCTATCCAACACTTTTGTGCCGCTGTTTTCTCCACCTAGAGCCTTCCTCTATCATCAGGCTTCATGTCAAATGTCTCCAGGTTAGAGACCATCTCTATTCTCCCAATCTGAAGTCAGTCCCAGTTGTCTTTTCTAGCAGCTTTGCAACCAAGCAACTATACCCGACTTTACACATGCATTTTAAAATAAAGTCCTGAGAGCACATCACAGTGGCTGGGATAACTCCCAGCACTGTAGGAACAAAGCAGCACTATAGGAAGGGACCTAGGTCTCCTGGGCACTAATCAGAAAAATCAAAACAAAAGCAGCATCTATTTTCCAGCAACTGGAAAAAATTAAAAAAATATAAAAGCAATCTAAAAAGACATACATTAAGTTTTTACTTTGTATCTAATTTGGAAAAAAACTATTATAACCAAAGACCTCTGCAAAAAGGTCTAAAGTACTAGTAGTACTTTTACATAAATTTTCAGAAACTTTTTAACTGTTGAAGTTTTGAGGAACTTCAATGATTACTAGGGAAAAAGCCCTGCTGAGCTTATTGGAATATATATATAATTATATAATATATATTATATAATTATATATAATATAAATTATATTTATATATTAATATATTAATATATAATGTATTTAAATATATTTCTATAAATACATTACATTTATGTTTGTTATATATAATATATAATATCATATAATATATAATATAATAGCACAGCGGGTAGGGCGTTCGCCTTACAAGCGGCCAACATGGCCGACCCGAGTTGGATTCCTCCGCCCCTCTTGGAGAGCCCGGCAAACTACCAAGAGTATTCGATATGCCAGACACAGTAACAACAAAGTCTCCAATGGAGACGTTACTGGGCCCGCTCGAGCAAATCGACGATCAACGGGAGGGCCTTTAAATATATAACATATATATATATATTCATTTGTATCCACACACCAATGAACTCAGTCAACAATGAATGAGGGCAAGTTCTGGCAAAAAAAGACAAGTTCAGGGCTGGAGAGATAGCACAGCAGGTAGGGCGTTTGCCTTGCACGTGGCCGACCCAGGTTCGATTCCCAGCATCCCATATGGTCCCAGGAGTAACTCCTGAGTGCAGAGCCAGGAGTAACCCCTGTGCATCGCCAGGTGTGACCCAAAAAGAAAAAAAAAAAAAGACAAATTCATCTATCATTGAGATTTTTTTTTCTTTTTGAGTCACACCCAGCTATGCTCAGGGTACTCCTGGCTCTGCACTCAGAAATTACTCCTGGGTGCTTGGGGACCATATGAGATGCCGGGGATCGAACCTGGGTCAGCTACATGCAGAGCAAAGGCCCTGCTCCGGCTTTCTCACTTGGGAATCTTAGAAAATAATTTCTATTGGGCCTTCACCTAACATCTCCAATAAAAGGAGGATGATTTTTTTTAAAAGATCTACTGCATGAACATTCAGTAATTCTATGCCTTAATTTTTCTAAAAGTATTCAGAATATATAATATACTAAATAGGATTAACTTTATTACATGCGAATGAATTTTTAATCTTATTTTTTCAAAAGATAACAAAAAATAATAAAGATGTCTTACCTTCTATGCCCAATCTAATCTTCTTAAGACCCCTTTCCTTCAAAACTGATTTGGCCACATCTCTGTTTTCAATGTACTTGAAAAATCTATATAATTTTGTGCTATAAATAACTAGAAACAAAAAGAAAGCTCATATTAATATCAAAGTTCTTGGCGATGAACCTAAATTTAAATAATCAAAGAGGCCCAAATCATGGATGCAGTAATGCCAAAGGATAACTAGCCAACATGACAGGACAATTCAGTACAGTTAATATTTAAGCAAATGTCTACTTATGTTGAATCAAGAAAAAGCTTTAATAACCAATCAGGTAACCCAATCCATAGGAAGAATCTTCTTCTGAAAGATATATCATGTATAAACTTACTGAAATGGGATCTGCCCCAATTTCTTCAAGTAAAAGTTACTATCAAACAGGCAAAATACTATGAGCCTATAAGCCACTCTCATCAGGAGGGAGGGGGGGACTGCCTTTTCAGCACAAAATGGATACATCTTACATTTAATGGATTGAGTAACTATTAATTCCCCCAAAAGGCAAAACCCTCCCCACAAACTGTTTTTCATTCAGGCGATCAGCCCCATTTTAATACTGATGTTAAAAATGGCAGATTCGAGCATGTTCTGCCTTGGTTAGTCTGTTTAGAGCAAACTGGTTTTGCAAAGGACAGACATTCCACTGACAACATGTTGAGTCTTCGAAATGAGCTGGGAACTTCAGGGAGTTAGACTGATGGGCCTTCCTCGCCTTCTCTCTTTCGGGTGGAGTTATCTCCCTTAAAAGGTGAACTGCAAAGGTTTTTTCAAAAAAAGAAATACACACTCACAAACCAAACATGCTGGTTTAGGAGTCAATAAAAGGAAAATACGTATACAAATGCTACTCATGGTGTAAATTTGTGATCTTTACTCTTACTGATTACTAATAAAAATAAGGTTTGTTGGTATCTGAAAACAGATAATGTCACACTTAGGAAAATCAGGCTGAGGTTATCTCTATCTCCTCAAAAGAATCTTCAGATTGGTACAAAATAAAATATGTTGAGTACATTTAAATGTTGGTACAAAATAAAATAAAATATATTTTATTATTAAGTAATATATTTTCAGTCATTTTAAGATTTTCAGAGCTTACAATAAAAAACACGACTATAAACTAGAAACCATCTGAAACACAAAGTTCAACATCTAAGAAGAAAAATCAGTTCTATTATAATTTCTGTATTACTATAATGCCATTTCTGTTCTATGGCTCTACCCTTGAGACAAATTTTTCAAAAACTAAAAAATTCTATGACCATGCATCCTTTTTTCACTAATAAAAAATTAGTTCATATCCTTTGGTTTTTGGTAACCCCCACTGTTCCTGAATTTTGTTCAAATTCTTATTCCACACATGACTATAAAAAAATAAGTCAGCAAAGAGTCTAGTAATATGGAAATAACTGAAACATCAATTTCTGTACAAAAAAGAGTCATAATGCTCATTAAAGTATACCATGCAGAAGAAATACTGGCAATGTAAATTCTGAGAAGTGCTATGATAACGTATTAAGGAACATATTTTTAAAATCCTCCCTTATAAAACACACAAACAAAAAAAATACCTTATATATTTTTAGAAAAAAGTAAGGTGGAAAAGTCAGAGTCTAACACTTCCTATGCTACAGTACTTTTTACTTTAATCCTTACAAAGTCAACACATATTAGAGCAAAGAACAAGATGTTAGGCTATTTATTTAATCCCACAAATCATTCTTTCAATTTCATCTTCTCAATCTATAAAACTGGTCAAATATAGTCCCCCATATCCCACTTTTCAAAAGACTATCCGAAAAAGGTTTAGATGTAAAATAAGAGCCATTACCACCCAAGACATGATCAGAAATATCTAACAATAACCTTTCAGTACCTGTACTGCAAACCAAAAGGAAAGAGACAGAGAGGGAAAAAAGTGCTTGCTGTAAAGGCAGACTAGGGATGGGGGGGGGGAAACTGAGGACATTGGTGGTAGGAAACATACACTTGTGAAGGGACAGATGTTAAAACACTGCTCGGAACTCAATCATGAATAACTTTTGTAACTATATATCTGATGTTGGTTTAATAAAAATAAAATTAAAAATAAACAAAATATCTAATGATAGATTAATAAAGCTTTCTGAAAGAATTACCAATCAATCAATATATATTTTATATTTGCCAGGATTAGATATGCTAGTAAAAAAATTTTTTTAAATTCTGAATTTAAAGCCACCCTTGAAATCAATGAATTGATGCTCACTGAAGTTATCCAAAATAAATCATTTAGCTTATTTTTTCAAAAACACCACTCCAGAATCTACTTCTCTAAGATGTTTTTAAATGAAAAAACAAAAATCCACAAACAGACAAAAAGCCCTATCAAGACCCAGATATTCAACAAACAGCAACCATTTCTGTGCATGATTTGGTTGGGCACACTCTCTCTGTAACAGACAACAGTAAATACTTTGGCCTTTGCTAGCCATGTTGCCTCTGTTACAACTACTCAAAGGAGCCATTGCAGGATGAAAGCATTCATCGACAAGGCATTAAAAAATATACGATTGAAGACAGGCAATAAACTGGACTAGGCCAAGGGTAACAGTCTGACTCCTTGTATAGGTAAGAGATTAAGCATAAAAAAATTTATCTTAGATTAGTATTACACAAGATAGAATGCATGCAACAATAATTACTTTGTGAATACTCTTCTCCCATCTGTGGTGGATACTCTTCATCCCAATCAACCACATCATCATCTGTAAGCACCACTATGTGGCATTCTCGTTCCCCACTCTGGGCACTAGCTACCATAAGCGGTAAGATCATTTCTTCAAGGTAAAATTCAAACTGTCTACGAGCACCATCATTTGATAACTCATGCATAAGAGCACCTGAAATGAAAAACAAAATATTAAATTTTCTTAATCACTGTAAAAGTAGAAAAGTAGACACAAAAATCTTTTAAAACCATCAGATTATTTCAGCATCAACTTGGGGACTGACCCCGTAAAGACAATACAGTGGTTCTTTCAAAAGGAATGGGGGAAAAGCACACAAAAATCTTTCCCCAGGAGTAACTCTTAATTAAATGAGTAGCTCTCATTTAATAGCAAGAAAGGTGAATTAAAGGTATCCAAAACAAATACCCCTCATTCTATATATTAACTCACCTATTTACAAAATTAGATTTAACATCTATTCTTCCTGCAGATGGAGTATTTTCTATTATATATGTGTCTTCCAATTAATTATACAATTATCTTACAGTATATCTTATGTTTATTTTTTAGGCTCCTTCCATACAAAATAAAAGAGCTACCAAATTCCATCTTCTACACGTTTTATTTTTCAAAAAATCATGGGGTTAATAGTGTAATGGTTATAATGAAAAAGACTTAAAATAATGTCAGTTTTAGATATTTAATTCCAATTCTATCAGCTCTAACATGGTGGCACCTTTCTTCTTAGGTCTTCTCAACTGAATTCATTATTCAAACTTTAAATTTCATTTTCCTTATCACTATTACCTAGGAACGTTACTTTAATTTCTGAACCTCTAGGCCTTCATTACAGAATTCAATCCTAGTTTTCAAAACATCTTCAGTGTGCTTGCCTAAGAAGGAAATGTAGATTCTAGGGATTGGAGCGGAAGTACAGTGGGTAGGGTGTTTGCCTTGCACATGGCTGACCCAGGTTCAATCCCCGGTCCCCCGAGCAATATCCAGCTTTATTTCTGAGTGCGAAGCCAGGAGTAACAACCGAGCATCATCAGGTGTGACCCCAAAAAAGAGGTAAAATGTAGATTCTAGAGAAACTTACAACTCAACTGATTACAGAATTATAACTTTAGATTTTCTTCACTCTAAGTTTTATGGCAGAAGACTGAGAAATCATTTCCTCTCTATACTAACCTTTCTGCTTCTAAAAATACAATTTCTTCTACTAGAATACAATTACTCATCCCCTCCGGAACCCCCTCTCACTCGAACAAATAGAATTTAATTTCTAACGTTCACTTAATACACTAGTTTTCCTCTAACATCAAATATAATTTACTTGTCAGTCTTCCCTACTACACTGCATATATCTGGCCAGCATTTAATCCTTTCTGCTAATGCTTTCTGTATGCCTAATCATTTCTGAGGGCTGAATAAAAATAAACAAGTTGTTAGTGAAGCTACTTACTAACCTTAATATTTATGGCCTCAAAACAAAAGTAAATAATTTTAGTTAAAAGACAGGTTTTAGTGTGAAGCTTCATTCTAATATATATATATATATATATATATATATATATATTTTGGATCACACCTGGCAATGCACAGGAGTTACTCCTCTAAGTCCTGGCTCTGCACTCAGGAATTACTCCTGGCAGCGCTCAGGGGACCATATGGGACTCTGGGAATCGAACCCGGGTCGGCCGCATGCAAGGCAAACGCCCTACCCACTGTGTTATCTCTCCAGACCCTTCATTCTAATATTTACTAAAGGCACATGTTTGTAGGAAAAATTCAATTGGGGCCTTAAGTCTACACCTAGAGTATAAATTTTAATTTTGTTGTACAGGGGGCAGCGGGGAGTGGGGCACACTTCTGGCTCTGCACTCAGGGCTCACTCCTAGAGAGGTTCAGAGGAATATAGGTAATATCTAAGATCAAACCAGGTCAGCAGAGTGCAAGACAAGTGCTCTACACATTGTACTATTGCTCTGGCCCATATATATATATATTGCTTTTTGAGTCACACCTGGCGATGCACAGGGGTTACTCCTGGCTCTGCACTCAGGAGTTACTCCTGGCGGTGCTCAGGGGACCATATGGGATGCTGGGAATTGAACCCAGGTCGGCCGCGTGCAAGGCAAACACCCTACCTGCTGTGCTATCTCTCGAGCCCGTGGCCCCTATATTTTTCTAAGACTACTTTTTCCCCTCCTATCCAGATTTTGTATTGTTTTGCTTTAGCAATCTCTATTAAAAATCTCTGAATTTCTCGTTAATGTAAGTTATCTAGGATAAATTTCAAGTCATTAATAAACGCCAAAAACATAATTCACATAGATTATGATTTGGGCCACACCCAGCTGTACGGAGGAATCACACCAGTGACGGCTTGACAGGCCATCTATGGTGCCAAGAATCAAACCCAGGTTGACAACATGCAAGGCAAGTGGCTAAGCCTTCATAATATCTTTCAGCCCCTCACATAAAGATTCTTACTTTTAGACCTAAAATAAGTAAGTAAAAGTAAGTAAAGTAAAGGCCCTCCCACTGATCATCGATTTGCTCGAGCGGGCCCAGTAATGTCTCCATTGGAGACTTTGTTGTTACTGTGTCTGGCATATTGAATACGTCACGGGGAGCTTGCCAGGCTCTGCCGTGTGGGCGAGATACTCTCGGTAGCTTGCCGGGCTCTCGGAGAGGGGCGGAGGAATCGAACTCAGGTCGGCCATGTTGGCCGCTTGCAAGGCAAACACCCTACCCACTGTGCTATCGCTCCAGCACCAAAATAAGTAAATGTTACTTAATAGTGATGACAAGGTAAATTATATCCAAAGGGCTGCAGTGCTAAAATCTAAATTAGTTTGTACCTCATATAAACCCCCAGCCCTGCCAGAATGATCCCTGAGTGCAAAGCCAGGAGTAAGACCTGAGCACCACCAGTGTAGACAAAAAAAAAAAAAATTTCTACAGGGTTTTTTTTTTCAAATAATCATATCTAATTACACAAAGTTAAACTAAAGTGGTCAAGAATATAAACAGAAACTGTAAAGTCAAGAATCCTTTGGTTTATAGTAACTAAGGCTCCCTGATTCAACCAAATTGAGGTGGATACTATCTCTTCTTGATATTTTATGGAGACTTTAAGAATGCTTGGGAAAATAAAATGTTACCTAGGGACAGATTTGATAATGCCACTCATTTTCAAGTAAATTATAACTAAGCCCAAAGAAGAATGGCTGGGGTCACACCTGACAGTGCTTAAGGCTTACACCTGACTGTGCTCCAGTGACGATCTGTGATGCCTAGGAAAGAATGGCTGTGGGCACACAGCAAGCAAGTGCCTTTCCTTCTGTACCATTTCTCAGGCCGGGATGTTTATGTTTTAAGTACTGATTATGGTTAAGTACTACACAAGGCATCTTAAAATTTTTATCTTTTAAGTGTCTTAAAATTTTAAATAAAATTTTAGGGCCAGAGCAATAGCAAGGTGGGCCTTGCATATGGACAACCTGGGTTCGATCCCCAGCATCCCATATGGTCCCCTGAATACTGCCAGGAGTAATTCCTGAGTGCAGAGCCAGGACTAACCCCTGAGAATTGCTGGGTGTGGCCCCAAACCAAAATATTTTAAATAAAGTTTCTCATTAAGTTTCTAATACTATGACACACTCTGCCATAGCAAAGTTAAACTTAGGTAATAACTTAGGTAAAAATACCCAGGTCTAGGGCAAGCATAGGGTCATAACCACAAACATTGAATAGCTTCCAACTATACAGAGGATAAACTATAAAAACATTAACATGTATTCAAGATCTTCCAGGCACAGTGGTAGGGCGTTTGCCTTGCATGCGGCCAACCTGACCAACCCAGGTTTAATTCCTCCACCCCTCTCGGAGAGCTCGGCAAACTACCAAAAGTATCTTGCCCGCATGGCAAAGCCTGGCAAGCTGCCCGTGCTGTATTCAACATGCCAAACACAGTAACAATTGTCACAATAGAGACGTTACTGGGCTCACTGCAGCAAATCGATGAACAATGGGAGGACAATGACAGTGACAGCGAAAGAGAAAGTACTTGAGTAAGGTCTTTGCCTTGCATAAGGCTTTGCTTTAATTAAGTTAATGCCAGGGTAAAGCTTTGTTATCCTTACTCTGAAAATCTCCTTTAGAATGACCTATAAACCAGTATTTCTCATGGATTCCCACAATATTCCAAGAAAGGATCACAGCACAAAACTAAGGTGTCAACCAGCAGGACAGGGGGTTGGCCACCTCCAGCAGTGCTCAAGGGTTCATCCATCTCTGTGCTTAGAAGTAACCCCCTGGCAGTGCTCGGGAACATGCTGTTTGGGATTCAAACCAAGATTGGCCAGATGCATGGCAAACACTTTAACCCCTATACTATCTATTTGCCCTTGTTATTTATTCTTTTACTACTTTTCCCCTCTGAATTCCTTCTCTAAGCTGGTGGTCTGCATGACCACTCCTTTTGAAGTTCCCTAACAATTCAGTATCCAAGTCAACATTTTGTAATTTATAATTTCTTTACTTTTCTGAATATAATCAATACCTCCCCCAAGCCCCCCCCCCCCCCCCGCCCCCCGCCACCTCTCTTTAGGCTTGTTTTAACCATAGACGGAAAGGTGATGAGGTGGTGAAAAGAGTGTCAACCAATAAGTAAATTCCACAGTTCTAAACCCTATTCTGAGACGACTTTTGAAAATTCTGGATAAAGAATTTTCATATAAGTAAGCACTAAATGATCTATTTAGGATCTTTCATACAAAACATTGTTTTTTGAGAATTATTTGCATACTTGCATATTGACAGGATATTATCTTAAATGCTAAGTAAAAATAATTATTTTTTGATTGATGAGATCTGAGGAATAAAACAAACATCACATATGACCAAAGCCAGATGAAGGCTTCATCCCTAATACAGATGAAGACTAGCAATGAATAAGAAAAAAGAGCTGAAGAATATTTTGGAGGGAACTATAAAAGAAGTTTATTAAACTTGGGAAAACCACTGTAAATTTTCCTAAGGGGCTTATAAAAGATACATTTTTCCCATAAATGCGTCAGAACTCAATTAAGCATATGAAATGTAGGTGAATGGTACTTTTAAACTTTTAACATCAATATATTGTAACTCCACAATGCACACTTTACATACGAAACATCATACTTACTGAGATCTCTACATTTAATAGTACTATATTCAAAAGAGATACAAAGGTAGTCGCATGCTTCTCTCAGCTCAGGAATAGATATGCCATCAGGACAACGGATTATTCCTGTTTTATAGTAATCCTGAGGGGGCGGAAAGTAAAGAATGCATCAGAAACATGAGGTAGCCAAAACTAAGATTGGGCTGGAACAGCAGAGTTAAAATTAGCACCCATGTCTCCCAAAAACTTTTTCATATTTTGTCTCAACAATATCAAGCAAATTCATAAGTATTTTACACACTTTATTTTTCTATACAACGGTCATAAAAATTCTAAATTCTTTTAAAAAGTCACAAAGGGGGCTGAAGTGATAGTAAATAGCAGATCAAGTTGAGACCTTGCTGTGCATACAGCCACCCTGGGTTCTATCCCTAGCAATTCATATGGTCCCCAAGGCACTGTCAGAAGTGATCCTTCAGTGTAGAGCCAGGAGTAAGCCTTGGCTTACTGGTTGTGGCCCCCAAACAAAAACAAAACCAAAAAATGTTACTTAGTCGAATAACATATTTTGAATTACCTTAAGTATCACCAAGAGAATGTGAAAAAAAAATAGGGTTTTTAGAAAAGAACTTCAAAGTCATAATTACACATTAAAATATGTAAAAGAAAAAATGCATAGATACTCTTTTCCCAAACACTATCCTTTTGTGTTTTCCACACTAATACAATCAATAGAAATTATTTCCAAAATCTCAGAAGTGTTCAGGGTTGGAACAAAATTACAGATAAGTTACTCCATAGCTCATCAAAATTTTCTTGTCAACTCAACTGGGGGATAAACAGAAGTATTGGCAGCACTCACAAAAAGTTAAGACCTACTCAAGCTTCTTGATATTCAGAGTCACAATAACACAAATACTAAAATTACTGCATCAATAGAAGCAAAATATACTCTGGTACGTGTTCAAGTATAACTACTTTCCTATCTAGTATCACAGTGGTCCTCCCTCCTCACTTCTCCCAAAATGATCTCAATTATATTTCATACTGGCATAAACCATCACACACTAAATTATCACTGATTTAAAATTACAGATTCTAATTCAAATAAATATATCTTAGAAATGGTTTTTAAATGTTTTTATGTGTCCACGCTGGTGGCTATTTTCAATAAAATTTTAGAATTCAAACACCATATTCATTTTTAGGAGTTAAAAGAATTAAGAGAATTACTTAAAGAGAATTAAAGAGGGAGGAATAATATACTACACAAATCTAAGCAACTTCAAAGAATTTCCTATGTAGACCTAAAGGATAAATCATTCTTAATGTTATTTCCATAGAGGTCATAAAATGTCTGTGTAATTACCTTTATGCATTAAAAATAGCATGTAAAAAGTAAAATAGCATGAATTTTTTTTAATTTTAATTGCACGAAAACAATTGTATAACTCTACAGAGACACTAAAACAGAGCTTTGCTTCCAATTCAAGTACTGAAACCAAAAAAGGGGCCATATACCAAGAAAGGGTCATATGTGTGTGTATGTGTGTGTGTCTGTATGTATATATGTATACATAGGAAAGACACACTCACCAAAATAGCTCGGAATACAGTGGAGCCAATTCCCTCTGCCACCTCATACTCTCCTTTCTCATTGGGTCGTGTAAAGTTATGTTCTCTGCCAGATCCAAACATCCTATGATTGTGAATAATTGAGAAATATCTATATATGATTCTTCCTTCAAAAGGAAATTTTTTACTTCATGTATAAAAGTTAACATTATAAACATTATAGTATTAAAATAATTAACATTTATTAAAAATCTATCCTGACAAATGTTAAAGAAATATTGAAAATATTTCCTTTCTGACTGGACGATAAAGATTTCCTAAAAGCAAATCATGAAATTAACTGATAAAATTCCCAAGCTAATAAACATTACAGACCTTACTCAGTAAAATCAAATAATCAACTAACCTAGGTTCCTCAATCACTGGCCACAAAATAACAAAACAAATTACACCCACACAAGAAAGTCTAAATCACAATCTAGAAAAAATTTTTCCTCAAAATTAATTTTTATTTCATTGTAAATGAAAAATACATAAAATTAAAATACCCTGTTTCATACAAAAATAAAAAGAACTAATAATTTTTCAGTTAAAAGGTAGGCATTCTATCCTAGTTTGGGGAATGCTTAAAACATGTACACAATGTTTATTATATACTTCTTAGACTGAAGTTTCCAAACTCTGGACGAGCAGAGATTAGAACATAATTACCTCTCCTTCATGCAACTAGGTATTTCTTCATCTTTTTTAAGTATTTGCCATCACACTGACAACACATGCTGGGAGTAGTCTTTAGGAGTTTTTACCTTTCAAATATGCTAATAACTGCTGATTTCTGAGGTAGAATTTAGAAGCTCCAAGTGAAGAAAAATATTTCTATTTTTTAATTCAATTTGTTAGAAAATCTATAATTTTGACCTTGTAGAGATTTTTTTCAGTATCCTGTCTTCATTCTGTTTGCTATTCCTACTGATACTGCAAAATGCATGAGAAATGAAATCAAGACCAAGATCTGATTTTGTGTACATTTTTGAGTTGCATTGACTTGGGCAAGTTATTTAACCTTCAAAACTAAGATACCTATAAAACAAAAACATTTTATTTTAAGGCAATTGCTGAAAAATGAATTTTGAAAACTCAAATAAGAAAATGCTTTGTATAATTAGTATATGAAAGAAATGTAATACTAACCTGCCCAACATTGTATTTGGCTGTGCAGTAAAAATGGATGGGTCTACAACAAATCTAGTGTTATCTACTATTAGCGTCACTCGTTCTGATGTTCTTAAATTACGAGCACCTTCTTTTGCATTTTCATATACAAATACCATCTCCCCAGAAGTTTTACAGCTACCATCGGAACTTGACTGACTACTATTTCTGCTACTGTTCCCGGCACTGCTACTGGAACCATTTGGAGATGCTTTTTGAGGACGAGGACTACTTGGGCGAGAGGAACTATGATCTTTTTCTCGTTCTGAAACAAAGATATTAAAAGTAGTATAAATTATCCTTCATAAAAGTTTTATTTAAAAATTTTAAATCACAGTATTTCTTCTTTTTGATTTTAAATGACATTCTCAAAGAAAAGCATAAATATTATTTTACTTTCCCAGAATAAAACCTAAAAAATCAGATGTTTTCTATAATAACCAAATATGTAGACTTCTAAACAGATGTATAGAGGATGAACCAGACCAAGATCAAAATTTAAGAAAAAATTTATTACTCCTCCTAAAAACATACAAAACCCCAGGACTAAAATCACTTAATCACTTAACTTCCCGTTAGTCGTCGATTTGTTCGAGCGGGCGCCAGTAACGTCTGGATTCCACGGGATGTCAAAAGACCGTGTGGCCGCCCACCTACCAGGACTAAAATATCCTCAACAAATTATATAAGCACTGAAACTAGTAAAAGTAATAATAATAATTAAAGCTGTCTTAAAAACTAGAGGTATTAAAACTACTAAATACAAAGTACAAATTTTAAAATCAAAGACACTCTAAAGGAAAAAAAAATTCAGCCATTTATTTCACAAAAAGAAGGTCCCAAAGAAAAGGATAAGAAAGCAAGAAATATTTAAGTAACTTATAACATCTACTAAATAAAGTTAATAGCAGATAGTAGGTAAAAAATACTATTAAAATTCAGAAAATATTTAAATGTTTCAATACTGAAGAAGAAAATTAAGACTTTGGAGTAAGTTTCCTTAAGAAGTTAATTACTAAACTTTAAAGGTGACCTAAAAATGTACCTCCATCTCATCAGTTTCATTAGCTTTTGCCAAATTCCTCCATGACTCAGGCTACTCAGAACATTCTGTACTGTTTTACTGATTATATAATTAGGTTTGCTCTATCTTCAGAGATACTCTGACACCTCCTCCTTAGTGCCTATTTCCACAATGCAGATAGCATCCCCACTGCAAAATTTTCTAGTATAATGAAACAGTTTACTCTAGTCTTTTTTCTTCCTAGATACTGATTTTACATATAAAAACTGTCAACTTCTAATTATAGTTTTTAGTGATTTTTTTGGCTTACTGGCACAATTCCCACTTCAAGGACCTACTTAGATAGTGACAAATTTTCTGCATATTTTTAATCATGTAATTAGAAATTTTAAGGCAACACCTGTCACTTTCTTTAGTGGAAAGTGAAAAATCAACCTCACACTGCTTATATACTACTGCTTCAGTGGTCATTTACAGATGTGTGTGTGTGTCCATGTATGCGCACACGCACGCGCACCAAGATAATGTTTTTTGCATAGTATGTAAAAAGGAGCTGGTTCTCAAGTAAGCAAAACACACTTCTTTGATCTGTTGCTATTAAATTGGAAATATTGTAAAAATAAATAAAATATTCTAGCTTTTACTCCTTTCTATGATCAAAGATTTCTATTAAAATACAAACTTTTATAATAAACTGTTGCTTATACCTTCATAAGATTATAGGAACCAGCTTAAAATATTTTTAAAACTAAAACATCAGTTTTAATGTTAACAGAACATTATTATTGCAGGCAAATTACATAGAAATTAAGACTGTCTCAGACTTTTGAGAATTTTTAAATTCTTTAAATTCTTGCTTCTGACAGCAAAATCCAGGTTAAATGTAAAATAGAAACAACTTAATAAAGGAAGTTAATTTACACTTAAGTACTAGGCACAATTCACTGCTGTCACTACTTAAAAAAGCAAATAGGTCTGAGAGACAGTACAAGGATTAAAGCACTTACTTGTAACTTATACTATCAGAGATCTCACACCCAGCTCAGATCCCTAGAACAGTTACCCTGAATACTGCAAGGGGTCACTCCTGAGTACAGAGCTAGGAATAGGGCCCAAGCATCACTGAGTGTAGGTAGCTTCCCAAAAAAAAAAAAAAAAAAAACAAAACCAGCAGGATGTATGTTTTTAAAGAGGAGTGAAAGACAGCTGACTCTACATACCAATATGATGCTGTCGTGTTGGAGAAGTAACATTTCTAATGCAAGGAGTTAGTTGAGATTCTGTTCTTTCATGTGATGAATCCCGTGATCGGTCACTTGATCTTCGTCTATCTCTTGATCGTTCATGTCCTCCACAAGCACCATGGAGACTCATTTTGGTGTGGTCAACAGCTCCTTTAGCAACACGTGAGGGAGTGCTGATAAATTAGAAAAGAAAATTAGCAATAAAAACATGAATAACCACCACATTTTAAGAGAAAAATAGTTTTTTATATATAAACTATATATGTGTATCTTTATTTTTAAATACTCAGAGGCTACTCCTGCCCCTGTGCTCAGGAATTGCTCCTAGAGAGGGTACACAGGACTTGCCACATACAAAGCCTGTGCTCACCCATTAAGCTATCTCCTGCCTTAAAACCACTGATATTTTAAGGCAACAAATCAAATAACTTAATTCTGAAATCTGATTTCTGAAACTACTTACTTCTGAAACGTCAAAACTTGTACACTTTGTTGAATTTAATCACATCTTTTTTTCAAGGATAAAAAACTAAGACCCAGGGCTGGAGCGATAGCACTGCGGGTAGGGCATTTGCCTTGCACGCAGCCAACATGGCCGACCCAGGTTCGATTCTCAGCATCCCATATGGTCCCTTGAGCACCGCCAGGAGTAATTCCTGAGTGCATGAGCCAGGAGTAACCCCTGAGCATCGCCGGGTGTGACCCAAAAAGAAAAAAAATAAAACCAAAAAAACTAAACCCAGAAATATTTAACTTCTGACAGCGGTTCTGTGTACATAGCGGCGGGAAGTGGTGATGGTGAATACAAGGATCTAAATAGTGTTCTAATCTTTCATTTTCTTTGTTATGAAATGAGAGGGAAATAAATATGAAGCCAGAAAGGTAGGACAGCTGTTAAGGTGCCTGTCTCAAATGTGGTCAACCTGGGCTTAATACTCAGCACCATATATAGTCCCCTAAGCACCGCCAGAGCACCGAACTAGGAGCACCACCAGGTGAAGCCCAAAAAGAAACAGAGAGGGAAAGAACACCAGTTTTTAAAACTCAAAATATGAGGCACATATTTCTTTTAAAATATGAGGCATATATTCCTTTTTAACCTTGCTGTCAAATAAATCTACTTAATAGTAAATTTATAATCCACATCAATATATTCTAATGTTATTAAACTCTTATTAAAATATTTGTCTTGGGGTCACATCTGGTAAAACTCAGGTGTTGCTCCCCAGCTTGGTACATCATTTTTTTTTTGCTTTTTTTTTTTCGTTCCAGCCCCTTGGTACTTCATTTTGCTCCTGGTGGTGTTCTGTGCACCATACAGCACCAGGAATTAAACCTAGACCTCCTGTATATAGAGTATATGCAACTCATTCACTTATTTCTCCAGCCCCAGCAATAGCAAAGCGGGTAGGGCACTTGACTTGCATGCAGCCAACCTGGGTCAGGGCCGACCCCAGTTCGATTCCTCCACCCCTCTCGGAGAGCCGGGCAAGCTACCGAGAGTATCTCACCTGCATGGCAAAGCCTGGCAAGCTACCCGTGATGTATTCGATATGCCAAACACAGTACCAAGAAGTCTCACAATGGTGACATTACTGGGCCCACTCGAGGACATCGATGAACAATGGGAGGACAATGACAGTGACTGCTTTAAAGTAGCATTTATCTTTGTTTTTGTTTTTTTTTTTTTTAAACAGAGAGGATTGGGCTCAATCTTAACATGTTCAGAGATAGTCCCAGTTCTGTGCTGAGGGGTTACTTCTCGCAGTGCTCATGGAATCAGGCTAAGAGTTAGCTTCTTTGCAAGTCAAGCACTTTAACCCCTATACTATCCTGAATGGGTCTAAAAAAATAATAATAATAATAATAACTATACAGAGCCCAAAATTAAATATTGTAGATCACAGTAGGTGGCTGTTTTTATTAGAAAGAAGTGAATAATAATTAAGATCAACTAAAATAGTCTGAAGAATCATGTACATATTAAGTTGCATGTACTATGTATAAAACACCATAGTAAATTACAGAAGCTCTGCAAGGAGCTTATAAATTCTAAATGTAGCAGTATTACATGGAAGCACTGAACATCTCTTTTTTAAAAAAAATTTAACATGTAGAAATTTAAATCAAATGTTATCCCAAATGTCAAATATAAAATGACTAAATTTATCTCAAAAATACGAACAAAGAATGCTAGATGATAATAAACACTTTAAAATCACAGAGGAAGAAGACACCGATGCAAATTAGGACTGGTACTTAGTAAGCCAACTGTTGACAAATAGATAAGATTTTAATTATAGGATATATCACAAGTATAAAAACAGACAGGAATAAAAATGAGCCAGATCTAAAACAATTATCTGCCACCTTCTAGATGCTACTTAACATTTTGGAACTGTATATGTATTCTATTTATGGGATTAAAAGAGGCTTAAGCTAACCATCAATGCATGTGACACAATAAAATCTACTAGAAAATATTAGTTTATTTAATGACAGATGAAATATTAAAGCCCCAAAATACAAGGTGCTCTGAGTCACAAGAGAGAGGATATGCTGATAGGTGACACAGAAACCTAATAAGCTTAATTAATTCTAGTATCCTCCTAAATATTACCTAAACCTCTCCTTAAAGCCATACTAGTTAAAATTTAATTTTCTCAATGATTCAAAAAGTTTTAAGTCCGCAGTGCTTCAGGGTCTCTTCTGTTAGCTATTAATACTATGCTTTGTTTTTTTAGCGGTTTATTTCATGATAAAAATCAATCATCATTTCATTGTAACAGATTACAAAGATATACAATAGGGGTAACCTTGCATATACCCTTAAAGTTACTTCAAAGGAAATAAGGACAAGGTATCAACCTTTATCAGTCATCTGTATCTCATAAATCTACAGGGAAAAAATTATCTGCCACCTTCTTTCTAGTAAGAAAGATGAGAGTAGAATTTTATCCATGAGAGATATTTTTCTTCAAAATGAACAAATCAAAAGATTCTATTGTGGAGCTGGAGTGACAGCACAGAGGGTAGGGCGTTTGCCTTGCACACAGCGAACACAGGGTTGATTCCCAGCATCCTTTATGGTTCCCTAGCACCTCCAGGAGTGATTCCAAATTGCAGAGTCAGGAGCAACCCCTGTGCATTGCCGGGGGTGACCCAAAAAGAAAAAAAAAAATTCTATTGCATTTGTCTAATAAAGGCCCCTGAAATATCTGACTTATGTTCTAAAGCAGGAAAAAAGGACACAATCTGCATTAACAACGCAAACCATATAAAAAATAAAAAATTATTCAGATCATTCTACCAGTAACTGTACATTTGTATTTTTTTTCTGGGCCATACACACCCTGAGATGCTCACAGTTTACTCTTCCTAACTCTAAACTCAGGAATTATTACTCCTGGTGGGGCTCAGAGAACTATACATACATATACATAATATGTAATATATAACATATAATATATACGGACAACATAGTGCTAGGAATCAAAGACAGGTTGGATGGGCAAGGTAAAAACCCTGCCTATTATACTACCTCTCCAGTCCTAGCTCTGCAATTTTAAATGTGCTCTGAGCAAATACTCTAAATATGCAACCCTTGATAATTTAATAAACAGGGAACAAACACAATAAAGATCAAGGTAAATGCAGGATGTTTCATCTGAGTAAGAGCCAAGAAGACTGACTGACTGAAAAAAGGGTCTCTACCAGATAGCTCTGAAGCTAAAAAATCAAATACTGCTAAGCCTTCTGCTGAATATACTGGCCTCATTTCTAAAATGTTTACATTTCAAATGAACCTAAAGGTGTCATATTCATATTCTTTACTCACAATTAAACTATATTCTGAATCAGTCCTTCAAAAAGACGTCAGAGAAAACTAATAATACCCTACTTTGTCTAATTAAATGATTTTAAACTCATAAAGCACTCTAAGGGAAAAACTAACGTGCAAAAGAAAATGAGGACAAACAAGTTCAGAGAAGATAAGTTCTTCATGCTGTGTTTAAGAGTTAGAGATTATATCAATTGAGGTCAGGTAAAGAAAGAGATGAAGAGTACATCAGCCCCAACACCTTCTTCTAGAAAAAAATTAAGTAACAAGGACTGAATGTATAGTATGATATAAGCACCCAAAAAGAGACCTTATTAAATATTCTGAACACAGCAAAGAAAAAAAAGGAGTTATGGAAGGGAGGGAAGGAGACAGAGAGGCAGGTACACAAACCAAAAACCCAGCCATAAAAAATGAGTTATTAAAGATTAAAAAATATTCTGAATAGAACAAAATTGGGGATACATTATGAAAGAAAAATATTTGTGAATCTAAATACATAGCAATAGCCATTATCCAAAATAGAAAATTTAAAAAGTAGAGCATGAGTTAAGTGATAAATCAATTTTAATGCCTAAACATATATATACATAGACAGAATCCATATAGAAAGGCAAGAACTGAAAAAAACATTTGTAATCTCGACATTTCCCAAAAATGTAATGAAAGCTACAAACTCACAGATACAAAATGCACACTAAACTACCAAACACATTCATTGAAAAAATAAAACTCAAAAGAAATACAAAGCAAAAATCTCTATAACCTACAGAAGCACTGCACTGTAGCACTGTCCTGTTCATCAGTTTGCTCGAGCAGGCCCAGTAACGTCTCCATTGTGAGACTTGTTACTGTGTTTGGCATATGAATACGTCACAGGTAGCTCACCAGACTGTGCCGTGCGGGCAAGATATTCTAGGTAGCTTGCCGGGCTCTCCAAGAGGGGTGAAGGAATTGAACCCGGGTTTGTCAGTCAGCCGCGTGCAAGAGTAAATGCCTTACTGCCGTAGAAACACTTCAAAAATCAAAGGGAAAATGCATTTTCAGATAAACATAATACTGATGCACTAATTTATAAGAAACAAGCCTATACAACAAATATGGAAAAAGAATCCTTTGAACAGAAAGAGAAAAAAACCCAGATGAGGGGCCGGAGAGACATAGTGCTTGCTTACCACATGGCCTACCTGCATTTAATTTCTGGCACTGCATATGGTCCCCTAAGCCCACCAGTGAGTAAGCCCTAAGCACCACTACATGTGGACCAAACACAAATAAAAAATTCTAGATAAAAATATAAAAACCACACAAAGAAATAACACAGAAATAGTA